AATATGTTTCCCATCATCGTCATCTGCGAGCCAAATTTATTGAGCGCTATTAGACTCTCCGGATACGAATCATTTATGTCGGCTTGTTATAGTGGAAACAGCAAGGTCCTGCTGTTTATTCGACGTGACCTGACCTACATTATTCGGCCTGTACCACCTGACAACGATAACCAATATATATGCTTAACAGTGAAGAAAAGGGGTCTTACTGTCACTGTTGTCGGTGCATACCTGTCGCCATCAAGTAGATTTGACCACAGAAGACTAGGACACATCCTATCATCCACTCCTGGCCCATGGGTGATTATCGGAGACTTCAACGCCCACCATACACTATGGGGGAGCCCGAAGATGAGCGCAAAGGGTAGAAGTCTGATAACGTTTGCTTCAGACAACGAGCTGTGCTTGTTAAATGATGACAGCCCAAAATTTTTACGTGGCCCTGGATACAGCACTTGCCTTGACTTGGCTTTTGTTTCTCGAGGTCTCGTCAGATGTGCCGGATGGTTCGCGGACACAGAAACACATGGGAGCGACCACATTCCCACATATGTCAAGATCAGAGGATTATCACCTTGCAAGGTACGCGAAACTATCCAAAGAGTGGACTGGACCAAGCTTGAATCTCTCATGGAAGAACGCTGTCAAGAGAACACCTCATTTGACTTAGAAGAGGTGATCAAGTCCACAGTACAAGACACAGTGTGCACCCTCACATGCTCTTCGAGAGTAACCGAATTTGATGTGGAATTAGAACGACTTCGGGCTCTCCGACGGCATGCGGAACGAAGGTACCGACGCACGAAAGCAATCGACGATTTACGAATCGCTAGACGTCTTCAGACGAAAATAGAACGCCGCATAGACAAGCTAGAGTAACAATGTTGGGTAGCCTTCTGTCCTTCGTTAGATCCTCGCAAGCCTTTATCATACTTGTGGAGGACAATAAGAGGGCTCCGGACATCTCCCATTCAGCAGTCTCCATTCAAGGCTCTAGCCCTCTCTCAACAGAGATCGGAGGTCGACGTGGCAGAAGAGTTCTGTGCCAACTTATCTGGTCAACTCACAGATCCCAACATCTCCACGCTCTCACGTGGTGGCACGACATCACACGATCACCACATGGTCCAATTTTTTTCTATTCATGAGCTTAAAGCAGCACTGGCTTTTTGTATACGAAAATCAGCACCCGGGCCTGATGGAATATCATACAGAGCACTGTGTCACCTTGGTGAGTGTGCGAAGAGTGCCCTCCTCGAGATATACAACGACTCGTGGTGAGAGGGCACCCTCCCAGTTAACTGGAAGACCAGCCGTTCGGTTCCAGTACTGAAGCCTGGCAAGTCACCATTGGTGCTCACATCATACCGCCCGATTGCACTGGCTTGTTGCTTGGGCAAAGTGATGGAGAGGATGGTACTTGGACGGCTAGAATGGTTCCTGGAGCATCACAACATCTACCCGGACGCTATGACGGGATTTCGCCGTGGCCGGTCATCAATTGATAGCGTCATAGACCTGGTCAGCTACGTGCAACAAGAAAAAGGCTGTAAGCGTCTCTGCGCTTCTTTATTTCTTGATGTTAAAGGGGCGTACGATAACGTCACACATGAAGCTGTTCTCACCGCTCTCAAGGAGGTAGGAGTGGGTGGTCGGATGTTTCAGTGGCTACGCAGCTATCTCTCTGAGCGATCGTTTTTCGTGAGAACCGAGGATGGTGACACTTCGCTACATTACAGCCACCGTGGTGTTCCCCAGGGTGGCATACTTAGCCCTTTACTATTAAACCTGACGTTAATAGCTCTCAATGAGCATCTGCCAAGTACTGTCAGATTGTCAATGTACGCGGACGACATCTGCGTTTGGACGTCTGCAGTAACACGTCTACAGCCGCGAGCGCGAATTCAGAGAGCTGCCACTCAAGTTGATATTTACCTCCGTCAACGAGGTCTAGAAATTTCCTCTGAGAAATGTGCACTAGTGGCATTTACGCGCAAACCAATGCATAACTACAGCGTTCTGATAAACAGCGAAAGAATGCGTCACCTCCAATCATACAAGTTCCTAGGTGTTATAATTGACAGAGACCTCTCATGGAGCTCACATGTATCATACATGAAAAGGCGATTGACAGGCATCTGTCATTTGTTCAAGTTCTTCACTGGAAGGAACTGGGGAATGTCCACAACTGCTATGTTGCGACTATAAAGGATTCTTTTCCTTGGATTCCTTCGGTACAGCCTACCTGTGTTAACCAACGCAAATAAAACAAGCATACGAATGCTTCAAAGTGTCCAGGCTCAAGCACTCCGGATATGTTTAGGCTTGCCCCAAAGTGCGTCAACAGCGGCAACTATCGCCATCACAAGGGACAACCTCATCAAGACCCACATTAATGTGGAAGTGCTGAGGACACATATACGACACCTTGCTCGAACCCCTCGACATCACCTAGCCTCTCTACCAGTGGTCCGACCATGCACATCTTACTGCAAAACAGTGACCGCACATGGTGAGTCGATCCCAACTTCATTCTTTCCTGCCGCTAGACCTGTGACTCCGCCATGGTGCCTCACTCAACCAATGATTAATATTAACATACCTGGCGTCCAGAAAAAGGTCAATTTGTCGTTACCGGCTCTTAAACAGCTCACACTACTTCTCTTGTATGAGAAATATCAAGACTCCACACATATCTACACTGACGGATCGGTTCAGCCGGACAGCTCTACAGGAGCAGTAGTGATACCAAGGTTGGCCACGACAATTAAATTCAAGACATCTCACGCAACAACATCAACGGCAGCAGAATTGGCAGCACTTCGTGCCGCGTTGCAATTTGTAGTTGATCAACCTACACGCAGGTGGACTATTTTCTGCGACTCGAAGGCGGCACTGCAGTCTCTACTATCAGCCTTACGCCGTGGACCACATGAGCAGCTGGTACTAGAGATAGCAGAGGTTATACACCACCTGACTGAGAAAGGGCACCAAATTACATTTCAGTGGTTGCCCAGTCACTGTGGAATCATCGGCAATGAACGGGCCGATCAAGCTGCCCACTCAGCCCACACAGAAGATCATAAACTGCGACTACCACTTTCTAGGACAGATGCTGCACGAAAGCTCCGCAGACTTGCTCGCCAGCAAACCACATCGCAATGGAATCAGCCACACTTCAAGCATGCCCGACTGTACTCGCTTGACCCTACGCTAAGTCTTCAAGTCCCGTCGAGGCTTCGCCGAGCAGACCAGACCCTGTTATGTAGGCTGTGGTTGGGCGTTGCGTTTACCAACGCCTACGCTTTCCGCATTGGGATGGCCGACACCGCAGCCTGTGGCCACTGTGGCAAAGAGGAAACCATTCAACGTATTCTTTGTGAGTGCCTAGCGTATAGTAAACAACGACTATGCCTTCGCAAGGAACTCAACAAATTAGATGATCAACCTCTGTCGGAGCAGGGAATTCTGCAGTATTGTCAGCATGCGACTTCACAGAAGAGGGCCCTGAAAGCGCTACTAAACTTTTGCGATCGACCGGCCTTACTGAACGGTTGTAGCTAGAACGCCCTTCCTGTGTGTGTTTTCGTTTTTTTTTTTTATGAGTGCGCGTGCGTTTTTTTTTTTCTTTTTCTCTATCTAACCCCTCTTTCTTGCCCCTACTTCCCCGCCCCCAGCGCTAAGTAGCAAACCAGATGCCAATATCTGGTTAACCTCCCGGCCTTTCCTTTCTCACTCTCTCTCTCTCTCTCTCTCTCTCTCTTAACAAGACCACGTACTTCCGGCTGATATTCTCTTGATGTGGTTCACTTCGTACCTTCCCTGATAATTTTATTTGTTTGTCGATGTTGCTTGCATATGAAGAGTACATGATTATTCGTAGCATTTCTAAACCATATTATCTATCTATCTATCTATCTATCTATATATATATATATATATATATATATATATATATATATATATATATCATCTATCTATCTATCTATCTATCTTGTATGAGTATATGACGAACATAAATGACAGGTGATGAGGGGAATCTCCCGTCGCTTTGTCTTAGTGCTTTTGATGCTTTCGAGTCCATTTCAAGCAGTGTTGCGAACCAAGCTTCTCAATGACTGCCACAATGCGTTCGAGCAGCGATATCTTATTTCGGCTTCGTTTCGCTCCCAGTGTTTCGGGTCATACTGGATACAATAAGATGACCTGTCCTTCTAATAGCGCAGTGGTCACGGTGCTCTGCCCAATTCAATACAATGAATCACGTGGCCAACTTTGCGATAACTTTGATCGTACTATTATACCTGTCTTGTTCAAAATAGCAGCTCAACGGAGAAGTTTCGCAGAGCTATAGTAGCAAGCAACGGCCGTCGTAGCTAAGGTGAATTTAAATTCGTGCGTTTCAATAAAAATCATGATAGCCAACATGTGCCACCCGCGGAAGACCATTTATATTTTCTTTCTTTTATACTGCTAGGGAACTGCCAATACACAAGACTTTCATCACTGAAAAAACAAACCCAAATCTTGAGGGACAAGAAGCGAAATTATGACGCGGAGAGTGCTCGCGGAAGCATTGCGTAAAGGGCCAATGGCTAACACAAACAACACGACGTAGACGGAGCCGGCGGTCTTTCGGGGAGCCAGAAACAAGGTTGGCATAGCGAGCACGCGAAAGGTATCGCCTATAAAGAAAGCCAGTTTTTTTTCTTTTTGTTCTTATTTTTTGTCGTTTGCAATTTCGCGATGGAATTCAAAGCCTCTCCACGGCTTTTCTTACGCTGAGCGCTTAGGACAGGTTACGAATGTTTAGATAACGATTTGGGGTAGGTTGCAAACCAGCTTCCGGATTTCGTTTGTACTGCGTGAGCTACCAACGCCCATTCCCACTTTCCAGCGGAAGTGATGGATACTTATTCTTTCTAAACTTACGTGTAGGCAGGGTATATATACCCGCCTGGCAGCCGTTCCAAGGCAAGAAATCATTGCTGGATACTTGTCTGCAAAACAAGCACCTTCTACCGCACTGATTTTTCCAGTCGAAAAGGATACCACAATTCCACAGAAGACCATGAAGTGTCTGGTGAGATGAATTGTGTTTAGTTTATTTACGCTTGTTATCCAAGAACTGAATCCGTCTAAAGTGCCCGAGTTGTGACGGTCGCATAATATTTTGTTTTTGTTTCGATGCTTCAGGTGTGAAGCGACCAAGTATTGGATGAAAATTTGATAGGTTCTTAATTCTAGTCCGAAGTTCAAGGTACTTTTCCGAAATATAAGCAATTTTGAAATGTGTGTGTGGGTGGGGTGGTGTTGGGGGACAACAACTGACGATACCGCTCGATAGTCTGAACATAGTGCACGGAATGCAAATCGGAGCTTGATAGCTGTCCAAGTAAGTCAAAAACCCCCACATTCGGTAGGCGAAAAGTGTTTGCACACTCATGTGAAAATCTTCCTTTTGGCCTTCTACACGTACAACTTCTAAAGAACAAATTATGTGTCACAGTATATTTAAGGTTCTGACGCAGCCAGGAATTCACTATCAGAGAGGCGCCCTTGGCTGCTATTTATTCATTTTATTAAGGTTCAAGTTGACAACATGCTTTTTACAGCCCCACTGTAACCTAGATGCAGCCGCTATGGCTCTTAAACGGTTGAAGTACTACATTTTACCACATCCAGTAGTATCTCACAGAAAACTACGACAAGTAAAGTGAGTGAGACATCATTTTTTCGTAGATACTTGTAGCGTTGCATGTATGACACAAAATCAATTTCAGCTTGAGCCATGATTGATAAAGCACAGTATAAACCAAGAGTATATTACCCACAGATACTCCCCTTGGCCTCACTCTCTGCGGGCTCATTCGACTGTTTTTAGCACGGGAAACGAGCCCTTCGAACGATTACCCTTCTCTCGCAACTATGCGCACACATTTAAATTGGCAGTATAGTTGCATGGCATGGTTAATGAATGAACAATACTGAAGCAGTGGCCATAATTGAAAAAAAAAAGGATTATTGAACCAAAATATCTTTAGGGGCGGTTCGAAAGGTTTAACTTCGATAAGATTAAGTTCTGAAATTTTCGCTACATTGCCACCAAAATGCATGCAAAGGTATATTTGCGTACGCTAATTTCTCCTAGGCATTTTTCCCCCGGCAATAATAATGAAAACAATGAAGTCGGAAGAATTTCGCAGCATTCTCGTTTGAATGAAGTAGCGGTAATGATGTTTCGCGCTGTCAATTTTTGATAAAATATGCTAGCGAGACTAGAAGCAGCTCGGCTGCCATGAGTGTTTTCACTGCATCAATCTGCTATTTAAGAAACGTTGAGCAAGTTTTCTCGTATACAGGAGAAACCCACCGACACTAACAGTCCTTACTAATAATTAATACTTTAAAATGTTATGAATTTGTGCGTGTCTACACATTTGTATGCCTTATCTTCTAATGTGGTAAAAGATTTATTCACTAATGTTCGCAATTGTGCAACTCTTACGAATTATGTGTGCCTGCGAGAATTCTGTAGAGTTATCTTATATGTCTATAAGATTGTATATATATTCTCTCTGCTGAGATCTGGTTCGTAGTATTTACAAATAAACAAGCGAAATCATTCGCTATCACATAACATTGTTCGCTTTTCGTAAATACTTATTTAGGCGGTCATTATGTATGGCTCCTCTGGGGGCCTATGCAATCGTGCATAGAACTGCGTTTACCTCCTTGGCACATTATAACAAGAACTGAAAACGAAGAGAGCCCAGCGTTGCGGAGGTCTATAGAAAGCATACCCCGTTTGTTTTCAGATATTGTTGCTTGCCCTCTCGGCCGTGATTGCCGTTGTCACGGCTGGCTATGGCTACGGACATGGCTATGGTGGCTACGGCGGATACGGAGGCTACGGTGGATACGGTGGATATGGCGGCTACGGAGGTTATGGCCATGGTGGATATGGAGGCTATGGTGGATATGGCGGCTATGGTGGTTATGGCGGTTACGGAGGATACGGCGGCTACGGAGGATATGGTGGTTATGGCGGCTACGGTGGCTATGGAGGATACGGTCATGGTGGATACGGCGGCTACGGGCACGGATACAAGCTCATCAGCTACGGACACGGCTACCATGGATAGGTTTATTGTAAAACAGTACTTATTGAACTGTAAATAAAGATAACTGTGATATCTACATCATTTATGGTCGTGTGTATTTATGGACGACCGTAATTAAAAGAGACACCACCACACTCACACTTAATTGATACGAATAGACGTCCGTGGTGAAGTAATAGAAACAAATTCAATAGCCTGTTAAAGGCTAAGAACTCATGTATTGTGCTCAAGGTATGTTACCAGAGTTAACAATACAGGCTCAAAGTCAAATTTACAAGCCGCAAGCGTAGCGTTTCTTCACATAAACAATACTTGGATCTTGTGCTGTGGCTGCAAATGAGAACTAGTAATTCCTGGCAGTATATCAGTCCGAACATTGCGGAAATTCACATTTATGGCAAGTCCTACGCATGCGTTTCCTATCAGTAGAACACACTTTATTCTCATTCTGCCTTTTAGGATCATCTATCCGAAGCTGGAACCGCTTCTCTAGGCCTTCAGATACTTTTCATAGGTCGGCGTCGTTTTTGGGCAAAAACGCTTTCAAGCTGGTCAGGAGCAGAATTTAATTCTCACAGTATCGCGCCGGCAACGCTTGTTGAATATTCGCTTTTCTAAAAAGAGTAACAGCAAACACGTTTAAGCTATACGTGTTATCGCGATTGGTAAGGAACAGAAGCGATCGGGCAGGTCACCTTGGTTCACACCACCGTGAATGTGTTCTATAACGTTATATGTGAAGGTCAGCTTCGTATAAAAGTATGTATACATATCTTGATTATCCAGACATGCACATGCCACCTGAGTGTGAGGCTAACACATATGAAAGCTCTGAAAGAGAGACAGATGCAAAGAAAGGCAGGAAGGGTAAGCAGGTACACACCTGGTTTGCTACCCTACACTGAAAAAAGGTTAAAAAGGCGTAAATAAAGAGAGAAAAAGGGAAGAATATTACACAGAATCGTGAGCACGCATGGCTTGGGGGAGCACATTTATGGTCACTCAGATTTGTTTATATTAGGTACTTAGGTGGCCCCTTATTTGCCTTCTTCGCTCTTGAAGCATATGTCCTGATGTCCTAGAACCTTCTTGTAGAAAATGGTGTGGAGTCCATATGCTTCAAAGAAGCATCCGGAGGGTACACAACTGGGTGTCATTGTGAGCGCAGCTGCACAAGATGTTTTAATTGTCTCAAGCGATAAAGCAGTGTCTATTGGTTTATCTACGCCATCGACCAGTGAATCCATGAGCGCATATCAAGGCAGCGTATTACCCAGCGCTTTACACTCAATCATTTTCAGTATAACTTCCGAACACTTTAATGAATTTTGACCGCATAAGAAGTCAGGTGCCTGAATGACACTGTAGTGAATGAGGTTATCTGCACACCCGCCTGTACACCAGGCAGCACGCCAGCAAGAAGAAGAGAGAAAAAGACGCCAGAAAGAACGATAGCGTCTGTGGACGTCCAAGCCAGAGCAGGGATAAATAAAATATGTGGGAAACCAGACGCCCCACGTCTTCCTGCAAAAGTATTATCGAACGCCTACTACAAGATCAGTTGTTAAGTGCCTTCTGCGTCATAATTACTTCTGCGAATCAGCAAATGGCCCACTACGTGTCCGTAGGGCAACATGCGGGCCAACGCAGCTATTCACTTTGTTGATGGTTCTACTGCTGATCACGATTCAATATGTAATAGCGTTTTTAAATGAATAAACCTTTAAAACAGCCACTCGTTTCTCAATTGACACGTTCGTAGCTCTGGCGCGCTTCTACTCTTCACGCTATATATGATGCGTTAAGGAAACTCCGTCCACTACAAAGCATTCATATAGTGGTTTTATTTTTCCAAAGCATTTTCAACAAATCTCGTGGCTCTGGCAGAACACCTTTGTGCCATGCGGGTAGACTGGCTTGGATCTTCACTTGGACCCTGACTTTTGTATTGTTTACTTGTTTTTATATAATATTTATTTATTTATTTTCTTTTATTTTATAATTTATTAAAATACTGCAGACACTTAGGTCCAAGCAGGTGGGCACTGTCAAAAAGATATGGTTCATAAAATAAGTGACGTAACAAATAGTTTGGGGTGGGTGTTTCATACAATCATAGTGAACACAAAGAGTGACATAGAAAATTATTTCGTAATAACACATGTACTGAACAAAAGGAACAACAAGAATACTACAAATCCATACTTCATATGCTATGTGATTACCGTAAAAATAAATACATAATAAATGCAAAACTATAGTACGATAATTAAAGGTTCATTTAAAATATTTTGACAGCATAACAAGTGAGGTGCCTGAGGAAGGGTACTGTAGTTCATTGGATACCATGTATACTAACCTTGGAAGTTTTATTTGCGAATTTCTCGCTTTTTCGCTCATGAATAAGACGATGATTTCTCGCTCACAACCAACGACGCCAATTATGACGCGAAGAAAATGCTGCCATCCCTGCGGAACGAGCTCTACAACGCTCTCGACTTAATGTCGGTTGCCTTCTCGAAAAATATCAAGTAACGCCTTCATGTTCATGACATTTATGCGTGACGTCTAGCATTGAGCACCGCTTTTTATTATTAGAAATAACTAGAATAGGTGTCGCCACTTACTACTGATAACCACCCCTTTTAAGTGAATGCTTTATTGGGCGTTACATTTTGAATAAAAGAATATTAATTGTAAACAAGGAGATTGAACGGAATTCTACATTTTGCATGTGTCATTTACAAGCGCAATAATAACAGGAGGCTATACAAGGCGTAAGATTAAAATAAAATAAGTATGATCTCTGAATTCAATTATGTAGCACTTCGTTACGCACTTGAGCAACAATTGCCATCATGCAGATTTCAACATGTATGTACGTGAGGACTGCACGTATTCCATGCGGAGTTCGCAATGCCTATTGAAACATTTTACCGCTCACATGGAAGATAAATATAATAGGTAATAATTTCCTTGTCCAAGTAATCTCAACTACAGGAGTTGGAATCATCAAAGTTGTCAATGTTATGTGCATGATTCAATTGTCACTGCTTCGTGGTATTGATCAAATCATAATGCGGGCCCCGGGTAAAACTTGTTTGTTCTTCACAGTGTTTTCGCTTAGTAAAATTGCACGTGCTCTTCAGTTTTACCACAACAAATGTTTATTCAAAACAAAGAAATGGACAAACATCAGAATCGATCCAATGAGATTTGTAAGGCTTTATTAATAAAGAAAGTGACATTGCACAAGATGCTGAAAGAGCCCATGAAATCCGGGAACCTAAAATTTTCGATCACCTTAGGGAAGAGCTTTTATTTTGGGATATGATAGATTTCATATGTTCCTTCAACAACTTGTCCAGCTTCTCTATGTAGTCCACCAAATCTCCACCAGCGTGCTCGACAACTTTCTTCATTCCATCGCCCATTTTTTTATGGCATTGAAGATATCCCCAATGAAGTATTCCTCGCCCTGCAATAGAAGAACGGCGTGGTTAGGACATGCGCTGTTCCATGATTTGCGGGCAAGATTTCTGTCACCATCGAGACAGGCTCCCTTCAAAATGTCTCTTCTCGTCATTTCTGCATAGATTTAAGCTGTCAATTACCAAGGCGCATACCCACATACCGTGGCTTGTGTTATACGGGTACGTGCCACACGTGTCTGGAGGAAAGTGTGTGGCGCCGTACGCGACGGGATTTTCCCGTTATTCAGTCGTGGACTACACACTCACAGAACGTACCAGCGCTTCCGTGCGGTGCCACAACATCGCCGAGACTGAAGAAACTGCCATCGCGCTCGCTGTCGCCCTCGGCTACAGACAACGAAGGTCACTCACAGTTCTCACGGACTCTCAAGCAGCTTGCCACAACTACCTACAGGGGCGCATCAGCCAACCCGATCTCAATGGCATCCTGAGCCACGGTGTAGGAAGGAGAGGTGACACAACGCAGCGGGCGAGCACGGCGAAAATTGGTTCGGCGCGGACGTGTGCGCATGTAGGTGGCGCTGCGCGAACAGGGGCCATGTACTGCGGGTCTTCAGTTGCGACGGGCATGAAACGCACCTCGCACTGTTCCGTATACAGCGCGTGCTTGGATTTTGGTGGGATGAATTCAGGGTCGCTTCAAATGAAAATACCGTTTCGAAAGAACCGAGGTTCTTTGGGACGTCTCGAGTTGGTATGTGAATTTTGAGGCCGAAGCGCATGCTTGCTATTTGGGACGCGACAGCGACTGTAGCTTCAACGATTCTTCGCGATGACGCAACCACCTCTGCGAGTAATTTAAACAAAAATAGGGGCAATTAAATGTTGTGCACCAGTGCTTTCCACCACGGTCACGGTGACTTCGGTATACGAAGGAAATTTGAATTTCGCTGACCTCGGGCACAAACATGAATCAGATATCTACTTCAGTTTTGCGTTGTTACTTTTTTAAACATGTTACAGTTATTCATGCATAATAAGCTTGTAGCGCACTATACATGTTTATTGCACTGTTTTGCAGAAAAATGTACCCAACAAGAAACGCTGAGGAAATCACACACATTCAAACACCAAGCCAAATACTCTGTTTAGGGCGCTTGAGCAGTAACAAGTTTTGACAGTTTTCTGAGCTTGTGTGTCTTGTTTTTCTTTTCTTTTCTCTTACAATACTGCCTCATCCGAAGGCCCACATAATAATGCAAGATTTTAGCAATTACTTCATCTCTGTGGGTGATGCAAGGAAATGAGAGCCAGTTGTTATCTAATATATGATCAATGGAGAGCTCGTAAGCATTCCTTTGCGTGCAATTTCTTTGAAACTCTACTTCTGCTGCGCGAAGTAACACAAATATGTTAGTTGTGGGATGAATGAGCTTTCAAAGGGTCTTACAGTTTACGAGGGCTGCTCCAGGCATCTGCGAGTGAGCAACAGGTCTCGCAAGGCTAACTTTGCACGTTTCGCACGTTGTGCTGTTCAGCAACTTCCGACGCACAAACCCTGTGAACATAGTAAACTATGTAACAGTT